TGTATGTGTGCGTGTATGCATGTATGCATGTATATATACATATATTTATATATAGATGTGTGTGTGTGTGTTTGTGTGTATGAGTGTGTGTATATATATATGTATGTATATTTATGTGTGTGTGTGCACAAACACACACGCGCATATATGTATATATATATATATATATATATATATATATATATATTTACACATATTTGTAATATAAATGCATATATGCATATATGTATATATATGCATGCATACATACATACATACATATACATGGTGTCTGTGTTTGTGAGTCTGTGTGTGTGTATGTGTGTGTATACGAATAAATACAAACACATGTAAAAAGAAAACACACCCACAAAAGAAAGAAATAGAACGACGATTCTAGTTCTCATCAGACTCAATAAAAAGTGAACTGGAATTTCTTTTTATTTGAAAAATCATTATCTATTGTGACAATTTCATCTATATCATTATCTTTACTATTATTATTATTATCATTATTATCATCATCATCATCATTAGTGACAGTAGTAGCAGTAGTAGTATCATTATAACTATATCATTACTGTGTTTTAATGTATGCATGTGTGTTTGTGCATACATGGGCATTTGCATGTATAAATTCAAAGATAGTTTCATTTATTAAGCATTTATCCATTGATTTGTCTTTTTTCCATCTAAAGTAGATAAATACCCTCATATCCTGACATTTCCCATATCATAAATATGGGAAATGTCATATCATAAATACATTTTATAAATACAACTATATCAAACAATGTTACTTCCAAATAAATTCCCAGATTTATACCTTCAACCCAAATACAATAAACTGGCAATACCAAAAATCGTTTTTAGAAAGGACATTCATACTACAATCAACGATTTTTAATAAGGTATTTCAAGGCTCGAAAATTACCCCCGTGGTGAAAGGGCCGACGTCAGAACCCACGCACGAACGCACACACAGTATATATAAGAGGAAGTGTCAACCGCTAACCATCATACGCTCACCAACCATGTCTCTCAAGGTACGAAATGCTCCTGTATAACGAAGAGAAGTGTCTAAGTCACAATGCTGTTTTTTATAGCATTGAATCTGAAAGTGGTGCGGGGATCTTTTATATTTTTAACTGAGAGAGTAATGAAAAGAAAGTCACGATAAGACATGTAAATAAAGTGTTCCGAATTCGTCAAGATATCCCCATCAAGCGGATAAATAATCGAAATGGATTTAGTTATTAATCCACCTGAGGAGGAACTCTTGATGCGTACGAAACGTTATGATTTATTTTTATTTCTTATTGTGGTTATTCTCCTTTTCATCTTTGTCTACACGTTACCGTGTTTGTTTGTGTTTGTGTTCAGCGAAATTGTTTATATTCATTTTACACTCACACACACAATATGCGTGTGCGTGTTTGTGTG